GATAACAACCGTAACTAAGAGGACGATCCTCTCTTGTCCGCTTCTGCGATCGATACCGGTCGACGCGGGAAACTCGCCGATACACGGGCGCAACACTCACGGGCGCAACAGTATATTATAGAATATTACAAAACGATTAACGAAAAATAATATGTACAAAAAATAAAAGAAATAAATTTTCTTTAATTTGATAAATCCACATATGTATGATAATCCATAAACATAACCATGTTAATTAACAGAACGCAAGATAAAGATTGACAAATAATAAATTTAAATTCTTATTTTTGAATAATTTTAATTTCTAAAAAATCCTTCCCAGTCTTTTGCGTTATTTAAAACTTTTCCTATGAGTTGTTTCATCAGAAACCTGTTGACGAACAATTAAAATCAGATACAGAAGATGATGAATTTAAATTTCCTCTTACAACATATGCTTTCAAAGATTTTGACAAGAAGCTCATAACTGATGAAACTTACAGAAGAAAAATTGTTAGTTTTTCTATATATGATTGATACAGTTGCATATTGTACTTAGATATTTATTCTTATTCTTATTTGCTATTTTTTATTACAGAAAAAGAAGATCTCAAATTAATGTCAAACAGGACTTTTCAAAAAATTTAGGTGAAATTCTAAAATTTTTTATAACCAGAGTAGTTGCTTTGAAATTTACAGCACTCAAATAAATGAATATATAAATAGATGATAGATAAAGAATTACTTAAAGATACGCATTTCTATAAGTTGCTAGAAGGTATAAAATAATAATTTCAATTTTTTTGTCATTAATTTTTTTCTCCTTACTTATGTTTGTGGAATTTTTTAATTCCAAGATTATTTTTAAATGCTCATAACGAAAACATCAACTCAAAATACTTTGGACAACTCATAGGAAAAGTTTTGAATAACGCAAAAGACTGGAAAGGATTTCGCTTTATACGGCTACGAGAGACAGAAAAAAAAAACAAAATTCTCGAAAAAAATACAAATTCAAAAAAAGGAAAGCCAAAGAATAATGACGATAAAAATGACAGTGAAGTAACCGACAGCCAAAGTGAAGAAAATAGCAACAAAGAGTAATTGTTTCTCACGCTGTAGTTGTAATTTTCCAGCAAATTTTCCACTGATACTATTTCTTCTTTGACTCGAGAAATTTGCGATGATAAACTCAAATTTTTTCATCAGAACTCTCAAACATTTTAGAAACAAATGATAATTGTTAAATAAAAAAATTATAGATTTTGAGGGAAAATATTTTGTTACTAATAATTTTGTATCTACTTCCATCCATCAAATCATTATCTTTCATTGAAAAATCGTTCTCATCAGAAGAAGCCTTTTTATTCATTTTTTCTGGTTTATTTAAAAGGTACCGTTTTTCTCTTTAATTCTTGATGATGCCGATCGATTCAGACCAAATTCTGAAGGTGAATTGAAGCGATCGTCAAGATTTGATTTTTCCAATAAATTCTTACTTGATGACTGAAAATGTGTTATCTGATTTATTTTTGAATTTGACTTCAATTGCGTGAGTTCTCTTTTTCCTTCATTTTTGTTTTTTGACGTGACTTTTACACACTGATCTCTGTTTCTGTCATTCTGGAATTCT